GCAGCAGTGATGGCTAAAGTACTACCTTGGGACTCTTGCTGGGGACAGAAGTCAAGAACCTGGCCAAGCGTGAGCAGCTTCCCTGCCTGTACCCTCCCTGCTGGGACAGGACGGGAAGTCTCAGAGCCCAGTTGCCCCAATGCCAGACCCATGGTTCATTCTCACTCACTCCGCCAGCATTGTTTGGGCACCTGCTGTGTGCCAGACAACGAGTTGCAGGTGGGCACCATCAGGACAGGGAGAAGTAGGACACGTGCAGCTTCTGCCTTCTCATGGGCAGTAAACAAATAACTACACAAATAAGTAGATTTTGAAACTGCTAGATACTGGAGTCCTTCCTATAAGTAGCTGAACTTCCTCTCGGCCTGAAATAGTCTAGGACACCCGTTGAGAAAGGGAAGCAGAAAGCTACCATTCTTGCAGTCATGTACTGCAGCCTGCGGGAGTGCCTGCCTCCCAGGCCTTCCCCCACTCCCCATCAGCATGTGTCACCTGTTGTTTGTTTGCTTTTGGCGGTCATTCAGACTCCACTGATAACTTTTCCTGCGGAGCCTGTATTCCTCTAGCTTTGACCTTCCCCTGGCAGTGGCCCCTGAAGAAGGACCTGGAGGGGAAGGCCAGTATCCCTATATCTGGGCAGAGCAGGGGCCACAGACCCTGATACCTCTGGCCCTCAGAGGGAAATTTGGTTAGAGAGGGAGTCCCCATGCTGCTGGAAGAAGCCACAGTAAGTGGCTCCCTCCCAGGCCTGGCTGAGCTGGGTTGCCAGGCAGCAGACCTTTCAAGATGAGTGTTGGTTCTCTGCCAAAAGAGGGAGAAACGTAGTAAAATCCACCTTCTGGGAAAATTGCTTGTTTCCTGGCTTCCAGCTTTCTTGCCACAGTACAATCCTCCCCACCCCCTCTTCCTGTTCAACTGTGTCCACTAGATTCTTATAGTTTTTATAAGTTGTTCAAAGGAGTTGCAGTTTAAAGAGAATAATTTTTGAATCATTTTCTAGTCCTTATCCCTAGCAGTTCAAAACAGCAGGATGTTTTAAGTTTGAGGACTGGAGCTTGTGGGCAGTTCTACATAGAGGTCCAAAGTTCTTACAGGATGTGTAGCGCCCAGCTGCCTGGCTGGAGCCTTGGTCAGCCACCAAGGAAGGTGGCTCTTGACCCTTTGGAAGGGTCTAGAATGACTTCAGCCCTTCTGCCCAGCCAGAGCTCGCAGAGCTCACCTCCTGTTGGGCAAGGTACATCAGAACCAAGACATTCTGATATGGGGGCTAGGGAAGGCTTCCCTGAGCAGATAGGGCTAAACTGAAACCTGGTGGCTGAGACTTGCAAGTACCACCTGGGCTGGTGTGTGTGTGGAGGGAGAGAAGGGTGACCCAAGCAGAATCCTCCCCTGGATGAAGGGGAAAATGTACTGGGAGAGTACCCGGGCACGCACATAGTGGCCAGGCAGCAGGAGGACGGTGTACATGCACCCTGCAGGGCTTGCTGTGGTTTGCCAAGGCTGCTGTCAGATTTGCATATTCCCTTGCAGAAGCTGCTTGACTGTGCAAATGAACTTAGCAACAACCCTGAGACTTAAGCAGACAGGGGAGTTGTGCTGGCCTAGGTTCCTGTAATTTTGGGTAGTTCATGTAACTAACTTGGGGCAACATTTGGCCTGGTGCATAGGACAAATGCTCCTACCCCAGTATCTGAGCACCTAGGTTTGAGTCTGGCTCTATTCCAACTTCCAGCTTCCTGCTGTTGCTCAGTTAGTTGGGTCCCTGCCACTCCTGTGTAAAACCTTTTGTCTCACAAATGATGGCCCCAGCCCTTCATTTCATAGGAATAATAATAATGCTGTTGTCCAAGAGGTTGCACAGGGACTGATAATGAATGAATTATGTCTTTGCAAAGAGAGATCCATCTTCTATCCTCTGGTTCACTTCTCATATGGCCTTGAAAAACAGGACTGGGTTCTCAAAAATCATCCAGGTCTCCTACATGAGTGCAGTGGTCTAAACACTTGGGCTATCTTCAGCTGCTTTTCTAACTGCATTAGCAGGGAACTAGATCAGAAGGGGAACAGCCAAGACTTGGCACTCTAATACAATAGTGGCTGTTGGTGTTACCCTTCTGAATGACAGCATTGGTCCCAGTGATAAGTTACCTTGAAGAATAGCCCCTGTTGCTAGCACACAGCAGCTCTGTGTGCTGGTGCTGACGTGAGGACACCAGGGTCCTGCCCGAGAGGGCCATTCGTGTCCATTCTGCCCTAGCAGGTGTCCTCTAAGTCTCTCACTCTGCTCTGGAAGGTGCAAAAGGCCTTGCTGAGGAGCCAGCCATGGCCTGAGACTCAACTGGCTGTTCCCCAGGAGGCCCTTGTAAGCAGTGCCAGGTCCTGAGAAGCCAAGCACAATAGCAGCAGGACAGGTGTGGCAGGAGAGAAAGTGCTGCGCAGAGCAGGGGGAGGGCGACAATGAAGTTGCAGCACAGGGAACTAAGAGCTTTTCCCTTCCCAGTGACTCTTGGGAGAGGAACACTTACAGGGGTATGTGGGGGTTGGTTTCTGGAGCAAGAAGGCTGGCTGATCCCCATGGGTAGGTCCCCTGTGGTCACTCAGTTATTCCTACCATGGCCTGTTCTGGGGACCCCTAAGGAAAAAACCCTGGTCCTAGCCCTGTGGCTCCTGATAGTTTCCTGAGGCCTCAGCCCAGGGTGGGCCTGAGCCAGCCAAAGGGGGTCTGCCAAAGGGCACCACCAAAGCTCCTGGCACCCATTTGTGTTCTGCCATACCTGTGTGACTACTTACTAAGAAGCTATGTAGCGTTTAATCGTAGTCTGATTTTAATTTTTTTTCACACTAGCACCCTAATGAAATGTTAGGGTGTTAGTCTTAACAATTATATTATGTTGGCAAATAGAGTCTTCCAGAAACTTGCCCTTCTTTGAGCCAGGGCCCTTAGCCCTGGATGCAGATGTTAATTAGGTTCTCCCAGATGTGGTTTCCAGGCACATTGGTTGCCCTGTTTCCATGTTTTCCTCATAGTAATGGCCCTTGGGTGCCTTGAGGCACACAGAGGCAGCAGAGGTGCCCCCTGACAGAGGCTGCTGCTGCTGGCTCAGCTCATCATAAGCCTCTGACATCTGACAGTACAAGGAAGCTGAGCTGGACAGGACAAAGCACTGAATACTCACTTTTCCCAGAAATCATATTTTGTCCCTCCCCCCCATTAAAATTTTTACCTATTTGGGAGACAAAAGAGAGCAATAGAGATCTCCCGTTTGCTCTGGTTCATTTTCCTAATGCCCGCAGTAGCCATAACTAGTCCAGGCTAGAGCCAGTAGTTGAGAATTCAATCTGGATCTCCCACACGGGTGGCAGGGATCCAACTGCTTGAGCTGTTACTGCTACGTCCCAGGGTGTGCATCAACAGGAGGCTGGACTTGCAAGAGGAGCTATGACTCATGCTAAGGCATTCCTAGATGTGGGTGTCACAAAGCAGCGTGTGCCAGATTCTTGTGGGAGGGTGGTAGCTTGAAGATTTGTCTTCAGCCTGATCTGCTCAATATGAGGTGGTTTCTCTTGCCTCCTTCTTGTGAATTCTTCTGTAGCTTGTTATCCTCAAGTGCTATTCACTTGTGTTAGAGACCCAAGCATTTCCCTGCAGGGGCGCCACCCATCACACTGCATCATTTGCTGTAGGCACTGCTCGTGACAGCCGAGGCAGGAGTTGGTGTTTGTTGTGGGCTGGAAATAGGGAGCAACAGACACTGGGAAGCAAGCTGCCCCTCCAACCCCACCCTGCTTGGTTATAAATGACAGGTGTCAAGTGTGGTGTTCCCTTCTTCTACTCTGTCACACTGCGGTGACCCCAAGCAGGCCCTGCCAGGTTAGAAGCCTGTGTCCTTGTTCTTGAGGAACCCTGGTTCAGTGCAGGGTCACTCTGTAGGCTGCCCCAAGCCTGGACTCCCCTCAGAGATGGGCATAAAGTCCTGGCCTTTGGTTTTCCTAGGGTTGGGTTGCTGTACTGTTTCATGGTTCTGTCCCCTAGAAAATCCCTCAGCAGTCATAATGGCTGTATTGCATTCACAGCAGCCTTTCTGCTCTCTAATTTTTTTTAAGGTTTATTTCTGAATTTGGGTGATGTGCGTGGGGGGGGGGGTCTCTTGTGGTATGCAGGTACAGCTGCCATCTGCAGAATCAGCATCCATGTGGACACCAGTTCAAGTCCTGACAATTCCACTTGCAGTCCACCTCCCTGCTGATACTCCTTGGAAAGCCACAGAGGACGGCTCCGTGCTTGTGCCCCTGCACCCATATGCAAGACCCAGAGAAAGTTCTGACTTCAGACAAGCCCATCTCCTGCCTTTGTGGTCATTTGGAGAGTGAACCAGTGCATGGATTATCTCTCCATTTTCTCCTTTTTTCTCTCTTTCTCCTCTCTTTCTATAACTGCCTTTCAAATAAATGTTTTAAAAAATCTATGTTTGGAAGTCAAAGTTAGAGAGAGAGTATATTCTGCAGTTTCACTCCCAAAATGGCTGAAACAGCCAGGGCTGCTTCAGGCCGAAATAGGAGCCCAGACTGCATCTAGGTCTCCCAAGTGGATAATAGTGGTCCTCCACTGTCTTCCCTGGGTGCATTAGCAGGGAGCTGGAACAGAAGTAGAGCGGCTGGGATTAAATCAGTGCCTACCTGGGATGCCTATATCACAGGTGATGGCTCATTCCACTGGACCACAAAGCTAGCCTCTGTCCCTGATTTTTTTAATCCTGTCTTCTCACTTTGCTCTACTATTGTTTCTTGCTGAGTGTCCTTTCGTGGGTCAGAGCAGAGTGAGTTCATCTCATCTGTGCAAAGGATGTGTGGGATTTAGAGAAGCGAAGTTCTTTCTTGGGTTCCCTAAAAGTGGGTAGAATCCCTACCCATGGTGCATGTACTTAGCCTCTCCCAGGGCCAGTGAACAGACTGCCTGAGGCTGGCTGAAGCAACTCTCCTCTTCCTCCTTGTTCCTGCAGGTTTTCCGAACAGACTTGATCACGGCCATGAAGGTTCCAGATTCCTATCAGCTCAACCCGGATGATTACTACATCCTGGCAGACCCATGGCGGCAAGAATGGGAGAAAGGTGTACAAGTGCCCGCCGGAGCGGAGGCTATTCCCGAGCCTGTGGTGAGGTGAGCAGGGTGGGCAAGAGATGTGCTGGCACTCATGCTTCTTCCTAGCCTGTCTCACTGCTGTGTTTTCTGAAAGGTTGAGGGCTTGAGCTTAGTCTTGGCCATTCCATTCACTGACCTTGCACCAGAACCTTGCCATCCCCGGGCCTCAGTTTCCCTTCCTGAGACATAGACACCTGCATGCTGAGATGCTGAAAGGAGAGGAACACTGCTTGGATGCCATTTAGCCTGGGACCAGGCACCCAGCCAGCACTCCAGGAGTCTGGTTGTGGCCAGAGTGTTGTTAGTCCAAATTAACTAGATTGCCTGTTCAGGAAGGCCTCCAGGCTTTAAAAGGGCTGAGCTGTGCTCTTGACATCCTGTAACAGGCCTGCTGATGATGGGTTTTTTGGGCAGGGAGGTACACAGTACGCCCTCAGGAAGCAGCTACTGTCACCAAGCCTTTGCTCCCCAGCTTTCTTCTCTTCTTGGATCAGACAGAACCCTGTGTACTCCCAGCAGGAGGCAGCCTGTGGCCCTGGCCACCAGCCTGCCCGATCTGGATTGCTTGGGCTATTGGCACTCGATCTTGGCTTTGGCAGCCCTGTGGATGTTCTTTGATCCCATGTGGACCAGGCTGGGACAAGGATTGCAACCATTTCCTCCCTAGACATTGGCACTGTCACCTCCTGGCAGCTGTGCCTGAGACTGACTCACAGACACTGATAGCTGGGCTATGCCAACCTGTGGTGGGCATGGGATTATAGGCTAAATAAGCTACTAGCCCTGCCAGAGCACCAGGTGGACACTGGAGGTTTGAGGCAATTGCGTCCTCCGCTAGTGATTTCCTGGGATGTCCCACTGGAGGCCCATGCACAATTGGAAAAATGCATTTCTCAACAGCCCTGCCACCCCTCACCTCCATAGATGGAAGGGCCATGAGCGACTCCCTCATCCTTATACTCCTGTGTGCAGAGAAGGTGATACTGGGACCTTCCTGACAGTGTGGTGCTGAACGTATGTAGTCTGCCACCACTGTCATACCTGCTGGACCCAGGAGCAGGATGAAGGGACAGGCCATTCCTTAGAGTAGGGTGAGCCCTTTGATCTGTCCTCTTCATCAGATGTTTGTCACATGGTTCCAGTGTGAGTGCCCTTAAATTGGCAGCTTGACTTCAGCCTGCCTGGAGTGGGAGACATGTTCATGCTGCTGTGGTTTTACTTAGTGCGTACCCAGCCATGTTGGGCTGGCATGAGCCAGGTGTCCTTGGCCTGGCCATTTTCTTTGGAGGGGAGAGTCATGGGATATGCCAGAGCAGTCTCCCCATATCTCTTCTTCCCTTGTGTCCATCCCACTCCCCCGAGGTATCATCCCCATCAACAGCCCCTGTATCCAGGTTATCTGAGAAACTCCATCTCCATATCACTACTTTGCTCAGCCCACCTTATTGAGTCAGTCGCTGTCCCCATTTCAATAGGTGAAGAAGTAGGAAAATTCTGGGGAATTCCCTGAATGGCCCCCAGGGCATAGGGGACTGGGGCAGGAAATCCCAGGCACAGGAAGCAGAGCTGGGCTATCCCTGGGAGGCCCTGAGCCCCATGGTGTGTAGGCTATCTCTGTCCCAGGCCATTCCCAGGACCTTGAGGTCAGAAGTTATAAATGATGGCTTGTGCTGCCTCCATTGTGGCCAACTCAGAGCCATCTCCTGACATTTGTGGTGGGTCTCAGCTAGCTGTCTCCTCTCCCCATGATGGCTGAGGATCACCTAGTCCTTCTAGGTCCTTCTGCAACTAGTAGCAAAGTCTGTTTCCAAGCCAGCAGGGACAGGCAAATGAGGATGAGAGCCAGGAAGCTCAGAAACTGCAAGTTTCTGGACCCCTGCTTGCCAGAGCAGGCCTAGCCAGGTGGTAGGCAGATGTGGGGAGTTGGGCCAGTGGGCATGGCACTCACCCAAGAGTGGCACCAGGCCACAGGCTCCTAGATAGCCAGGCCACGATGGAAAGCAGGAAGCTTCCTGGGCAAAGGCAGGGTCAGGTTGTGCTGTAAGTACTCCTGCATATTATCATCATGTTATCCTGCATGTACTCCCAGGACATGACCTCTCTGCTAGAAAGAGGCAGTGCCAAGTCCTTTCCCTCATGCCTCTCCACCTCACCTAGACTGCCCCCTCCCTCCCTGCTCGAGCCTCTGCCTACCTGGTCTCCTGTGTCTTGATAACACCAAGTGACCCTATGTCTCTGGGTCATGTTGGGTCCTGCTCTCCCTCCCTAGTTAACACTGAGTCACAATCCTTGGCAGGGTTGGCAGTTTAGAGGCCAGGCTCTGAGGCAATAACCATGGCAACTGGTGGGGGGGGTAGGAAGCACTGTCACTAGAGCTAAAGGGCGGTTCATAGCTCAGCAGTAGGGTGGAGGTGGTTAGAGGGAAGCTGTGTCCTCCTCCACAGATTCCATTTCAGAAGATGGTGATACCCAGGGTTTACTTGATTCATAGCCAGGCGCATCTCATGACCTCACCTATGTCAGGATAGATAGTCCTCTCTCCAGCTGTCTATAGGACTCCTGTGTCCATCAGCCCATAGCAGGAGAGGCGGAGGAGGGGAGGACAGGAACACTGGGGCTTTCCCAGTGCCACATAATCAGTGGTAGAACTGAGCTTCATGCCTTGCCCATCTAAGCAGCGTATAGGGTGGAGCTAGGGCCCTAAGAGAGGGCCGAGCCAGTTGTGATCTAGGCCTTTGTGTCCCAGGATGGGGGGGTGGGAGTGGGCAGGGAAGGATCACAGGTGACACCCAGCCAGAATCTCATTTCTCTGGTCCCTCTGTGAGGGGGTTGCCCGTATACTGGACCTGTGTCTTCAAGGTATTCCTTGGGTTGCAACGGGGTAACTGACAATCACAGAGCTATGAAGCCATTGGACACCTGAGACCTAGAGGCCAGTGGGTGCTGTCCCATTCATGGCCTTGTGGCTATCACAGGACCTGGGCTGTGCTCTGGGTAGAGTGGGACAGGTGTGAGCAGGGCTGTGGATCTGGAAACTGCTACCCGCTTTTTCTTAAGATTTATTTATTTTAATTGCAAAGTCAGATATACACAGAGAGGAGAGACAGAGAGAAATAACTTCCGTCCAATGATTCATTCCCCAAGTGAGCACAACAGCCAATACTGCGCCAATCCAAAGCCAGGAGCCAGGAACTTTCTCCAGGTCTCCCACACAGGTGCATGGTCCCAAGGCTTTGGGCTATCCTCTACTGCTTTCCTAGGCCACAAGCAGGGAGTTAGATGGGAAGTGGGGCTGCTGGGATTAGAACTGGCATCCAAATGGGATCCTGGCGTGTTCAAGGTGAGGACTTTAGCCACTAGGCCACAGTGCCAGACTCAGGATCTGCCCTTTGAGCTTTCAGGGTCCCTGCTGCCACCTGTGGTGTGTGCAGAAGCCACAAGAGGTAGAAGAGGCACAAAGTATGGGCTGCTTCCTCTGAAGCATCTGCCTCAACCTTACTGGAGCTGTATCACCTAGTAGGATGGGGGGTCCTCCCTATATGACACCCCCTCCTGATTCCCTAGGCTTCTGCCACCGCTGGAAGGCCCTAAACCACAGGCGTTCCGGAGCAGTTCTACACCAGAGTGGCCAGAAGGCAGCCGCTATGACCTGGACGAGATTGACGCCTACTGGCTGGAGCTCATCAACTGTGAACTCAGGGAGATGGGTAGGCAACTCTGTGCATCGAGGGGTTGGGAGGATGATCCAGGGAGCCAGGAAGGGTTCTCATTCCAGGGCTGGAATGGGGTTTCCCCCAGATCAGTGGGAATTACTAGGAAGCTGCCTGGAGTCCCTCTGTCTCCCAAAATTGGGCAGCTGTTGGATGTGCAGAACTGTTGAATGTTGGATGTGATAGACATGACTGGCAGGGGTTGTGGGACTTTGTAGTAAATGGGAATATCATGGGAAGAATAAGGGACCACACTACTCACCAGGGTGATACGGAGTCTAGTGAGTGGCTGCAGGCCTGCTTGCCAGAGGGGCTGGCACTGCCCTGGTCTGCCCTCTGCAGAGATACCCACAGCCCACCCGGTGTGCACTGTGGGTCCCCATGGTGCTGCTGCATATGCAAGCCACTTTCCACTGACTGTCTTCACACATGCTCCTTTGTTCCTATGCCTGTGAGGTGCGGGCCCTCATGCTGAGGCAAAAAGAGGTGTGTGCCTCGATCCCTCACTCCCAAGATAGCCTCTGCCCCAAATCCATGCCATAAAACTGAATCCTGTGCAGAGCACACCACAGATGGGCCTCCCAATCCCATCCTCTGTCATTGTCCCCTACAGAGCGCCCAGAACTGGACGAACTAACATTGGAACGTGTGCTGGAAGAGCTGGAAACCCTGTGCCACCAGAACATGACCCGGGCCATCGAGACGCAGGAGGGGTTAGGCATTGAGTATGATGAAGACGTCGTGTGTGACGTGTGCCGTTCCCCTGAGGGCGAGGATGGCAACGAGATGGTCTTCTGTGACAAGTGCAACGTCTGTGTGCACCAGGTTGGCAGCCACCCAACTGGCCTTGCACAGGCTGCACACACACCCTAGGGTGCAATGCTTGGGGCTACTCATCCTTCCCCTGGAGGAGCAGGGCAGCAGGGTGGAGGGCTATGTCAGTCCCTGGATCCTGGACTCGGTTCTGCCTGCCAGAGTGGAGCAGATTTATTTATTTATTGTTGAAGGACAGTGGTAGAGATAAGGGAGGTGTTCCACTTGCTGGTTCACTTCCCCAGTGGCCATAACCACAAGGGCTGAGCCAAGCCAGGCCATAGCCAGAAGCCTGGAATTTTTTCCATGTGGGTGACAGGGGTCCAAGCAATTGCATTCTTAGTTAGAATGCTGTTACGTTCTAAGGCTAGTTAGCAGGGAGCTGGATCAGAAATGGAGCAGCCTAGATTTCAACTAGCACCTTCAGGGGATGCTGATACTGTAGGTGGTGGCTTAAGTTGCTCCACCACAATGCCCAACCCCCATTGCTGGTGCAGTCTGGCTGGGGCCCCACCTTGATCTGGGGGTCAAGGTCTTGAGTGTCTCTAATCCTCGCCTGCAGACCTAACTGACCCTCCAGACCTTTGGCACTGACTTAGAGGCTGTCCTTGCTCTCTCTGTAAGAATGTGCACCCCTGGCCTGATAGCTCAAAAAGTGTCTTTGCCTCTCATGCATTCCCATCTCTTTTTCTCAGTGGCTCTAAGCTCCCTGTGTCCTTCCCAAACCCCAGGTCTGAGCTGGAAGAAACCTGAACACAGACCATTGTGTTAAAGGATGAGGGCTCTGGGCCTTGTCTCTAGAGAGTGTTGGCCTGCAGGGGTCTCCGGGCTCTCTTGAAGCCTAGCAGAGAGCCCACAGGGACCTGGGGGTGGGGGTGAGGACATCATAGGTGTTCTCTGCAGGTCCTCTGGAACTCCCAGGTGCTCTCCTGGTTGGAGGCTGCATAGCAGTGGGGTTTGGGACTTAGGCTGGGAGGACCCAGAGCCAGGTAATTTGCACACCAGACTCATACCCTCACCAGTCGCTCTCTCTCCCCAGGCATGCTATGGGATCCTCAAAGTACCCATGGGCAGCTGGCTGTGCCGGACCTGCGCCCTGGGGGTCCAGCCCAAGTGCCTGCTCTGCCCCAAGCGAGGAGGAGCCTTGAAGCCCACCAGGAGCGGGACGAAGTGGGTGCACGTCAGCTGCGCCCTGTGGATTCCCGAGGTGGGCAGGTGTCTGCCGTGAGCAACTCAGAACTCAGGCTAGGGCAGGACTCGGGCAGCATCCAGCGGGGAGCTTGATCTATGAACTTGGCCAGAGCTCTGATGGTGCCTTCTGTCAGTAAGGCTATGAGCCACCAAAGGAATCAGTCAGGGCACCACCGAGGACCGTATAAGTGGGTTGAGGGATCCATCTCGATCAAGGAAGTGGTTCCCGCCAAAGCCGAGCTCATATGGCAGACAGACCTCACAGACGAGCAAACAGTAAGGTAGTGAGCCAACCGCTGTGATCGTGGTAGCTGTGACCAGTTCTGAAGAGTGGGCTGTGCCTGAGTCTAGGTGGGAGTATGGTGTGCCATCAGGGACCCTGGAAAGTTACTGGGGCTTCTGGAGGACCCCATCCTACCCTGTCTCCTGCAAGTTACTCAAGTTTGCTGGTATCTTGACGGCCTTGCTGTGTACCTTGACCCAGATCGAGGATGCACAGCCTGTGCCCAGGCAGGCCAGGTGGCCCTGACAGCACATGGCCTCCCCTACTGGGCACATGCTGCAGGCCTGATTGATATCCCTGTGTGTGAGTGGTCACTTGCTCCCCAATCAGGGTAAGGAAAGCTATAGCCAATTCTGCATGTACCCTGAGCAAGAAAGGCAGAACTGACAAGGGCCCCTCCCTCTAGGGCAATCCTCCAGTTCTGGAGACAGTTAGGGACAGCTGTGCCCTACCTTGGGGACTGAGGGTGGGCTGTGCCCTCTGACCTGGGTGACTTTTAATCCACTTCCCTTGAACTGGGCTCAGACAAGCCACAGGAAGGATCCCAGGAGTCCCCCCACCAGGAGATGCTGGCAGGAGGCCTTTGCTTGGTGCCACAGTACATAAAATAAGCCCAGGTTGTAGAAAGAGCCTTGAAGCTACTGTTACAAGAGTCTAAAGCTACAAGGAGGACTGCGTGCACACATTCATGTATACACATACAGACCCACACCCTGAGGCATCTCTATCTCCAGGCACACTTTATCTAGTCAGCTACACATATAGCCATGCGTTCATGCACCCTCAGATTGTTGCAGGTTGGTTACTGGGAAGCTCATACTAATGTACTCAGACATTGTCCAGCCTGGGAGAATTGGGGGGATGCAGATCTTGGAGCCATGCTTGTTTGGGGTCAAGAAGGAATAGAGATTTGCAGACTTGGCCAGTTTCTTGACTGCCCCGATCTGATTTTAGCAGATAGCCCCTCCTCCCTACTTGGGGGACCCCTGGAGAGAGGCTGGGGACCTCATGCAGCTCCTATGTCTTGCCCAGGTCAGCATCGGCTGTCCAGAGAAGATGGAGCCCATCACCAAGATCTCCCATATTCCAGCCAGCCGCTGGGCTCTGTCCTGCAGCCTCTGCAAGGAGTGCACAGGCACCTGTATCCAGGTATGTGTCCCACTTCACCCCCAGTACACACACACTCCTGCCCTCATGAGCCAGCTGCAGAGAGCCGAGTCTGTAGTGCCTTGGGAAATGGGTGGCTGTCACTACCCTCTGCCCGCTCCAAGGTTGCTGCTGCACATCAGAAAGCTAAAAGGTCTGGGAAGTGTGGGTCTGGGCAGAGCTGAAACTGCTCATTCCTCCGGGGGCATCATTCCTCCTCCCTACCTGAGTGGGCAAAGGACCAGTACTAGGAGTGTGGGGAATTCTGGCTTTGGAGTAGGCATCTGTGGGTGTGACAGACATGCGTGCACTGGTTTCCTGTTAGCCATCAGGCTGAACACATGGAAGGGGTGGGAATCTGACTTCTCTGCTGATTTGGTAGATTCTCCCGACTCAGGACACTGCCACACTGCTCTGTCTCCAGTAGAAGTTCCCAGGTTAGAGTTACCTGGAAAGATTGGCAAACAGCTTACTGGGCCCATCAGAGGGTCTGACTCAGCGGGTCTCACATAAGGCTGAAAATGTGCATGTCTCTCAAGTTTCTGGGTGGTGCTATGCCTGTGTCCTGTACTGTGGGGGTGGGCTTCACCCTCTGCCTGACCACCCTTTCACTCCAAGAGCAGTTGTCATTGCGCCTCCCTGCATTTGAAAGACTTTGCCAGTGGCAGTGGTCACCAGGAGTTGGCTGTTACTGTGCGGCAGTTAGGTTTCCCAGGCCATTATCCAAGGTTGACTGAGAGGATCCAGCTCCAGGTTGCCTGGGTATATCCAATAAGAAAAGGTCTATTTCCTCCTGGAAATGTACCCACCTTAGCATGGTAGAAGTACAGGAAGTGGTGACCCAGTATCTGCCTTTTCTTATACCTTTGGTGCCAGTCATTCTGCCCATATAAAGCTGCCACCTATCCCTATGGGGCTTGCCCAATCTTCTGTGATTGCTGGCTCCTTTAGCTCACTAGCTGCTCCATCCCATCTGCGTAGGATGCTAGGAGTCCTTTTGATTTGGGGTGTCCCCGGCATTCTGTGTTCTAGGTGGAGCCCAAAGGAGGCCCCACGTCCTCTCCTCCCACTAGGGCCTGCTCATGCCTGACACTGCCCTGCCTTTCCCTCCAGTGCTCCATGCCTTCCTGTGTCACAGCGTTCCATGTCACATGCGCCTTTGATCATGGCCTGGAAATGCGGACTATATTAGCAGACAATGACGAGGTCAAGTTCAAGTCGTTCTGCCAGGAGCACAGTGATGGTGGCTCACGGGGTGAGCCCCCAACTGAGCCTGCGGAGATCAGCCAGTCTGGCGAGGACCTGGAGAAGGTGACACTGCGTAAGCAACGGCTACAGCAGTTAGAGGAGGACTTCTATGAGCTGGTGGACCCAGCTGAGGTGGCCGAGCGACTGGACCTACCAGAGGCGCTGGTGGACTTTATCTACCAGTACTGGAAGCTCAAGAGGAAAGCCAATGGCAACCAGCCCTTGCTGACCCCCAAGACCGATGAAGTGGATAACCTGGCCCAGCAGGAGCAGGACGTCCTGTACCGCCGCCTGAAACTCTTCATGCACCTGCGGCAGGACCTGGAGAGGGTGAGTACCCTGCTGCCTGCCTGTACACCCGACTCAACACCGAGCTCTTGAGCTAGCCAAGGGTCCTGGGTCCCAGACATGGCAGGCTGACCAATACTTAATGTAACTAAGAAGGATCTAGCTCTTTACTTTACAACTTCTTGTCCCTGCACTCTTGCCGGCCTGGTGAGGGTTAGTGAACCTGCCTGGGGCAAAGACTTGAGCCTCAGGCCTTTGGTCCGGCCTCTGCATCCTGCCCAGTCCTGGTTGAGCTGCTGGTGTAAATCCAAGATCATAAAAAGTTGGGGGCTCCACCAGCCAGGCAGGCATGTATGAGCCAACACAAGTGGATATCTGCGCCTCCTGCCCAGCTCGTGGGCTGTTATCTAGCAGTGTAAGCATGGGTTTCCAGAGCTGAGCTTGTGGCCTGGGATTCCATGTGCCTTGGTGGACCAAAGTGCAGCTGGAACTTCTGGAATTTCATTCTGGAAGTACATGATTAGTTTTCTCAGAACTGCCCCCCGCCCAGCTACTTGCTGGAGGCAGGTTAGAGGTGGGACTTGAAATATGGGGGAATCTTAAGGGTTGAGTGAGAGGTCCTGGGGCCCCTGGGTCTGTTGCAGGGGAACTGCTTAGCTCTTGAATCTCTAATGAGTCCCAGAGTTACAGAGCCTGTGGAGTCCTATCAGGTGTCCTCCACAGGCATTCTTGAGCTCAACTTGTCCCCAGGCCCTGGGCAGCAGCACTTGAGGGTTTTTGTGTGACCAGAGGCTGTTGCTGATCTGTTGTAAATCTATTGGGCCATCTGAGCAGGTACTGTACTGTATAGCAGGTAACAATCCAGTATCCCCTTGCTCCTTCACCCAACTCCTCTGCCCTGGGGTCTGGGTGAGGAGGAGCAGACCCTGTTGGCTGGAATCCTACTCCCTGCTACTGTGTCAAAGGGAAAGGAGGGAGTGAGCAAAATTGGCATTGCTGGCTGTGTAGCCAGGGCAGAAGGCACACCACCTCATCCTAGGAGGCCCAGCTTCCAGTCACATGGCAGGTGCGTGAGAGCCCTTGTCAGACCGAAGCAGCTGCCAGAGTTGTCCCAAACTCCAAGGGTCGGCAGTGCAAGCCCCTGATTGGTTTTTTAATCCTTTTTTGTTCATTTATTTATTTAATTTATTAATTTTTGCAAAGGCAGATATACACAGAGAAGGAGATACAGAAAGAAAGATCTTCCATCGACTGGTTCATTCCCCAAATGGTTGTAATGGCCAGAGTGAAGTTGATCCGAAGCCAGGAGCCTGGCGCTTCTTCCGGGTCTCCCACGCATGTGCAGGGTCCCAAGACTTTGTGCTATCCTCTACTGCGTTCCCAGGCCACAAGCAGGGAGTTGGATGGGAAGTGAGCAGCTGGGATACAAACCTGCACCCACACGGGATCCCAGTGGTGCAAGGCAATGGTTTAGTCACTAGGCTGCTGAGCTGGACCCTCTTTTTTTTTTTTTTTAAAGATTTATTTTACTTAAAAGGCAGAGTGACAGAACAAACGAGATCTTATGTCTATTGGTTCTTTCCCTCCCAAATGGTCACAGCTTCATCCTGTTTGCCCACGGATGTGACAGGGACTCAAGTACTTGGGGAATCCTCTTCCGCAGTTTTCCCAGGTGCACTAGCAGGAAGCTGGATCGGAAATGGAGCACTGAGGACCGGAATTGGGGCTCACACTGGGATGCCGGCATGGCAGGTGGCAACTTAAGCCACCTTTCAGCCCAACATTGCCCGTCCTCCTAACACTGTATTCCTGCTGGTTCCACCAGTGCCATCAAGTCTGTACCAGTCTGCCCTATAAAGTGACCGGGCTAGGCTGTTCTGGTGATAGAAAGCCTGGACAAAGGGCCTGGAAGCAGGCCCTCCCAGTTCTGCCCAGGAGATGAGGAGAGCTGACGTCACAGGAAGCCTTACAGAAACTCATTTCCTGGGGCTTGAGCTTGGACTCGGTCCTGGATTGGTGCTGGCGGGCGGCGGGGGACTGGTCAGGAGAAGAGATGGCTGCCTATTTCCTGATCCAAAGTGCAGAGGTGCTCTCTGGACTGTCCTGCAACCTCCTGACCCCACGATTGGAGCATAGGTGGGGCTGAGGACTGAGCGTGGGTGCCCAGGTGATGGAGCTCTCTGGAGGAGTGGGGTACAGAGTCCTCCAAGTCCAGGTGGCCTGGATATCCCCCTCACACACACATGTCAGGAAAAGGAAATGGGCTGACGTTGAGGGGGCCACTGCACAGGGTGAGAAGGGTCCAGGCAGGGTTGAGTGTCAGATGGAGGGGAGCCGGGTGTGGGTGCCATAGCCACAGGTTGCTGACTAGAGTACCCTTCAGCTGCTGCGAAGGATGGTTTTTGCAGAGCCCTACAGTGGGGGTAGCCAGCCCTGCCTGTGGCACCCAGCCAGCAGCCAGGAGGATCCAGCCTGTGGCCAGGCGCTGAGCCAGCTCAGGCTCAGTTCCAGCTGGGAGGCAGGGAAGGGCTTGGGATCCCGGCACTGGGTGGGCTGGGTCTGTGTCCGCTTCCAGCCTGGCCTACTGCATACCGCCTCTGCTTCTCTTTCCATTTCTCTGAACTTTGGGTTTGGCATCTGGAAAATGGGAGTCTGAACCCGGGGGCAGAGCTGGCCCCATGCAGTTTTTTGGGGGCTGTTAGGTTTGGCCTCACTCTGGACTCTCAGACAGTTGGCCTCTTGGAAGAAGTGGGGCCCAGGGATCAGGGCTCCTCCCTGATGGATTTGCCTATGGCCACTGGGCAAGGGGCCCATGCCGCTCCCAGTGAGAAATCCAATTTACAGTCAGTCTAGAAGAGAGGCTTTCCTAAAGTTCAGCTGTAGGCCCCTGTGGCCTCCCAGAGTTATTCCCAGCTGACAGAAACATTGCAGCACTGACAGCCAAATGCCGGCCGCATCCCCTAGCAACCATGCCTTCCCACAGGCTGCTGTGCAGGGAGATGCCTGTGCTGCGGTCCACATCTCCTCACTAGGGCTTCATCCAGGAGTCTGGCCTGGCCTGAGGGTGCACTGATACAGTACAGGCAGATCTTTGGCACCCCGGGGGACTGCTGGGGACTCCCCAAGGCTGTTGCTCCCTCTGCCTGGGGAAAGAGGGTCAGTGGGAAATAGGCCCTGCCCTCCTCAGATACTGGCTACCCGCCAAGTTGTCACTTCATCACTCACTGTTGACTCTGACCTAGATGTCCACAGTGAGACCTATGGGCCCCCGCCCAAGCCCACCTTGTCCTTACAACCCCATGTTCCACAGTCCTTGTCACTGCACAGCTCATAGCCAAAGCCACGCCCTACACCAGGAGATACTGGACAATGAACAAGTGAGTCTGCGGGCACCTGCCAGCCAGCCTGGGCATGACGCAGTGAGGTTCCCATATGGGACTTCCCCTGGCCTGCCCTCCTCCTCAGGGCTGCAGCCTACTCACAGGCACCTGACACCCACGTGCTTTCCCACATTGGAGCCCTCTGGATGCCATCTCCCTTCTTCACCCTCCCTGTGGCCCGGGCCAAGGGAGTCTCTGCCTGGGCCACCATACAGGTCCCTTTCCCCTTCCATTAGAGTCAGCTCAGCCTCCCCTTTTCCCTTGGGAGCAGCCCTCCCTCCCAGCTCCCACACCTTCACCCCAGGACCTTCCTGCCTGGCGGCCCACATGGTTCTACTGCCTTGATTTCCATCTGGGTCAGGCTCCTGCCACCTCTGTCACATCTCATCTGTGCAGCTGGGCACCTAGCAGCTCCGCCTCTCCAGCTGCAGCACCCAGGCTCTGAGCACCCCCATGGTAAGATCCATCAGTTACAGATGCTCCAACTAGGCCCTCACAATGTCTGGGCCCTCTTAAGACACTCTCTAGCCCCATTGGCCATACCGCCAGGTCTCTCTCAGAGGTTGAGGAGGCCCCAGGCTCCACCTTGAAGCACCCCATTCCCAGCCTCCACCTGAGTTGGGATCTGACTGCAGCAAAAGCTCTGGATCTGCACATGCACTCCAGGCGTCTCCTGCCTGCTGCCCCCACCACCTTCCCCTGCCCCGCCTCTATAAGGATCCCAGCAAGTCCATTCTAGCTGCACAAGCCCCACATCTGGGCTCTGTCTGCAGAACCTATTGCTACCAAAACAACTTAATCAAACCGGAAAACCTGCGCTACCAATCGCTGCCCTAGTTACTGGGGACTTTTCTGCTTGATTCATTTTTGTACTGTTTAATTTTTTTTAATGACACTATTTTTTCCTTCAATTAAAAAACAAGACAAAACCTGACAGTGTGAGGAGGCTGTGTGAACATCTAAAATAAGAGCAGCACTTTGGCCCTGAACGCCATTGTGGTGAGAGAACTGGATAGTGCAGTATTTGGTAAAATGGAGCCTGAGTCCCTCTGAGAAGCAAGCAGTTGACGATTCTAGAAAATGAGGGATTGAGGGATCAAAGTGTGGGCCTCATATCAGCCAAGAGTGTTGGATTCACACAGGAGGAAGTTCTAGTTGCCTGTTTATTTGAAAGGCAGAAGGACACGGAGAGACAGATATTCCATCTGCTGGTTCACAGCTGCATCAGCCAGCACTGGGAAGCGAGGGACCCAAGCCTTGGGGCCACCATCCTTCCCAGGCACTTTGGCAGGGAGTAGGATCAGAAGTAGAGCAGACAGAACTCAGCCCGGCTACTCCCATATGGGGTGTGGGCCACCCAAGAAGTAACCAACTCAACTTGCACATTAACGATCTTACTTGTGTTTACCAGTATGTCATCTAAAGCAAATATAACGAGACGTCCAATGGAGTAGGAAAGAAGACACTGCTGGGGTCCTAATGTTCTTACTATTTGATGTTTTTTTTTTAAAGATTCATTTATTTTGACTGCAAAGTCAGATATACAGAGAGGAAGAGACAGACACGAAAATCTTCCATCCAATGATTCACTCCCCAAGTGACCGCAATAGCCCGGAGCTGAGCTGATCCAAAACCAGAAGCCAGAGCCTCCTCCGGGTCTCCAATGTGGGTGCAGGGTCCCAAGGCATTGGGCCGTCCTCGGCTTCCTTCCCAGGCAACAAGCAGGGAGCTGGATGGGAAGTGAAGCTGCCGGCATTAGAACTGGCGACCGTATGGGATCCCGGTGTGTTTAAGGCGAAGACCTTAGCTGCTAGGCCACTGCGCTGGGCCCAGTGGTACATTTTTGAGCCTCACTCTGGAGGCCCAGATATTGGTACCATGTGAAATGTGTACTTGAGGGCTCTGCCCACTCCCAGAGAGAACACTTTAATGGATTAATTGGATGAATAAAGCTCTCTTCTGTTGGTTCACATCTGCCAGGCTCGGGAAGCAAGAGAGCAGGCTCAGGCCTGTTGTAGGCCTGGCCACAGCTTCCAGTGGGCCAGGAGAAATAAGCCGTGGTCGTGTGCACAGACAGTCTGCAACCAGATATCACTACTCAGGCAGCTTAAGGACAGGGGACTGAACTCAGCCTTCAGGATGGACCCCAAAATGCGACAGCAGTACCTCAGCTGGACAGACTGTGGTGGGTCTCAGGTTCAGGATGGTCAGCTTTGGGCTGGCTGTCTGCTGCTGAAGGCTCTTTCCTGAGCTGCAGAGACTACATTAAATGAAGTGTCCCAGGCTGGGGTCCTGATCTTGACCCACCCTGAGAGCTGTGGCTGAGCGACGGTTCCTCAGGGGGAGGTGTCAGATGTGCAGGCAACAGTCTGGCCCAGCCTTAGATGCTTCTGAGTACAGGACCTAGCAAGGGGAGACTGTTCTCAAGCTGGCCTGGCGGAGCAGGTGAGAGTGGTGGTCCTGGAGGCCTCTGGCCTTGGTGCTATGGAGTTGTTCCACAAAAGCTACGTGGATGTGGGAGCCTTGGCCAAAGCTCTGTGAATCTGGCTCAGGTCCCAGTGCAGCAGGCAGACCTGGGTCAGAGGCAGGCTGGCTCAAGTGGGTCAGGAGCGCCCACATCTGCAAAGCCCCCATGTGAGAGTGCGGTCCGGCTCCATGTCCCAGCACCGTGTGTGTCATGGGACAGGTGTTGTCTGTGGTGCCCGTGTGTGAAGAAAGACTGGACAAGAAACACAAGATGACCTTGAAGGCCTGGCCAGATGCGGATGAGCCTTGGGCTATCACGGACTTAAAGGAAAGAAGCTGTGTGGGAGGGACCTTAGGGGCAGTATGGCTGACCTGGCTATGATTGGATCAGAAGCATGTGGTCCCGGGCTAAGGCTGTTCCCAGGGCCTGGGAGCCGGTTCCCGGATGCTGTAGGCAGCACAGGGGGCAGCAGCAGCAGCCTCTATCCTGGTTGCAACCTCCACAAGCGACTGTCCATGAGTAAAGCGGAGAACATCTCTCTTGTGTCCTCAGGTCAGAAACCTGTGCTACATGGTGACACGGCGCGAGAGGACGAAGCATGCCCTCTGCAAGCTTCAGGAGCAGATATTCCACCTGCAGATGAGGCTTGTTGAACAAGATCTGTGTCAAGGTAGGCGCCCTCCCTTATCTGCTACCGTGTGCATGGTAGCCTAGGCCTAGCTCCCTGGAGCAGTGAGGGAGGGAGTGTTTCAGGGTCCCAGGGGCCACTGCTTCCTGCCTGTTCTCTCTAGCACCCAGGTAGGAGGTCCTGAGGGGGCTGTGACGAAGGTGGGCACTGTGGTCCTCAGACCTTCCTGCAGGGAGCTTCCTAGTTTGCCCAGTCCCAGCAATTCTGGAGCTGTGGCTCATGAACAGGGGCATTCCAGGCCCCACATCTCGGTGGCTCAGCTGGGGCTGAAGCAGGAAGGGCCAGGAACTGGCAAGGTATGCCCACAACACAGCCTCACAGGAGCTGCCCCAGGGCTGGGACGTGGCCTCGTGCTCCTTCTGTACAATGCTACTGACTACATCAGCCACAGGTTCTGCTCTCCTCTCACCATCATGTGCGTTTAGCAGACCCGTAACCTGTAGGCCAAAGTCACTGATGCTGATCTTAGCCATTCACAGGCCCTTCCCACTGTGTGCTGGGGAGAAAGCCCTGATGTTGAGTTGTCATGTAGCTAGCAGGCCTGCCATTGCTTCATCAGCTCTGGGTCAGGCTGGGCCTGGCTTGGAGCTGTGGGAAGAGAGCAGCAGGGCCACTGCTGGAGTCCGTGACTGAGGACCTGGTACAGCCAAGTACGGGTACTGGGTCAGGGCAGGTCACAGCCAGGAGGAGCTCACCCTGTACCCAGACTGAAGCATTTCAGGCTTCCTGGAACCATGTGACCAGGGACAAGCTAAGTGAAGGACAAGCCAATCACACAGCAGATTTGGAACAGCCCAGAGGTCAAGCAATGGCATGGTAGAGACACTTGCAGCTGGTATACCACTGCTGGGCACAGGGAGGCTGTGATGCCTCAGGTGAGGCAGAGGGCACTGGCTGTGGCCTGGGAAGGAGTGCAGGCCCTCTTGAGGGCAGCAGGGAGCCTCCCTCCAGAGGACCTGGGGATCTGTCCCAAGGGTGGAACAGGGCAATGCCCCTCAGCCTTGTTCAGGACGCCTTCCTCTGGCTAGCCCAGAAGCTGCACGTGAGGTGCCTTCCTCTGCTTAACCTTGTTGGCAAGCCGGACATGCAGGCCAAACACTGGCTCCCAGTATTCCGTTGACAGTGGTGTCAGGAATGCCCACTAGGCATCCCACCCTCAGCAGTACTCTTTGCCCCTCAGTACCCAGCCCCCTGGCCTGGTACTTAAGGCCTGCCCTGTCCACACTCTCCTAAGGCCCAGGGCTGCTGCAGCCAGACCACATGGTCCAGGTGCTCTGACAATCCTCCCTCCTGCCCCTGTGCCCACCCCAGGAGCAGCAGTGAGCAGCTGTCCCCGCCCCTGGCTGTGACCTTCTGTGCCAAGAAGGGTGAACTCTGGGTGGTGAAGGGCGCTTGGGCAGCCATGCGGTAATGAAGGTCCTGTGTCTGCTCGGGTCACCATCTCCCTCCTGTCATCCTCTAGAACGGTCTGGGAAGAGAGCTAAGGGCAAGAAGAGTGAGTGCAAGAGGAACAGTCGTGAGGCTCCCAAAAGCAGCCCCGAGAAGAAGGAGAAAGTGAAGGCGGGGCCTGACTCCGTCCTAGGGCAGCTGGGTGAGTGACCATCATCCCATGTTGGGTCCTGGCCAGGTGCTCACCCCTTCCACACTCACACCCTGCCCCTTCTCTGGGTAGTACCTGGAGGAGGCCTAGCCCAGTCAGTCCCACATTACCTGCCCAGAATCCTTCCATAAGGACCCATCCTTCAACCCCAGCCTGGAATTAACCCTGGGAGACACAGCGGGCTCACCTCTGTTTTCCCTGTGTCCCTGAAGGACAGGCCCTCATTTGGGTCTTCGCCTCCCAGGATATCACACACAGCCTATGAGAGCAGAGTGGGGTTCCTGTCTAGGCCTCATCCCCAGTATCAAGGAAGTGACAGTTTGTGTGTCTGTGAGGGAGGCCCAGTCTCAGCAACACTGACATTTGTGAGGCTACCTGCCACCTTGCACCTTGCGTCTACTTTGTGACCTCTCTTCCATATCCAAGCTCTTTGCCCTGGTACCCTGGCAAGAAGTGCTCATGACCTCCCAGCGCCCTCTGGTGGCCTGAAGGTGTTCTCCACTTCCCTTTTCCCATCCCCACCATCCCTACCCTCACAGGCCTTCTCTGATGGGTGTAGTGTCCTGTCCTTGCCATCTCAAGGGTCTGCATGATACAGGATTGAGGGGCCCACATCCTGACTTTGTAGCCACTCCAAACGCTGGTGCTGGTGCCGGTCCAGGGGGCAGGATGTCTTTAGAGGAGAAGAGGGGAATGGACAAGATGTCTTGCTTGAATGTGGCCCAGAAGGAATGTGGGAAATTTATGTATATTTGAGCCGGGAAGGCTCCCCTCCCTCTCCCCCCAAAGGAGGGCTGGGCACACCCCTTCTATTGTCTCACCTGCCTCCTCTCCCTCACCAGGCCTGTCCACTTCATTCCCCATCGACGGCACCTTCTTCAACAGCTGGCTGGCACAGTCAGTGCAGATCACAGCTGAAAACATGGCTATGAGCGAGTGGTCACTCAACAATGGGCATCACGAAGACCCTGCCCCGGGGCTGCTGTCGGAAGAGCTGCTGCAAGACGAAGAGACCCTGCTGAGCTTCATGCGTGACCCCTCACTGCGGCCTGGTGACCCCGCCAGAAAGGCCCGTGGCCGCACCCGCCTGCCTGCTAAGAAGAAACCCCCACCACCCCAGGACACGCCCGGCTCACGGACGGCCCCAGACAGGCCCCCTAAGAAGCCCTGGGCCCAGGATGTGGGCAGCATCAAGGGTGGGCAGGAGCCACCTGCCCGGAAGCCACCGCGGCGGACGTCTTCCCACCTGCCATCCAGCCCTGCCACCAGGGACTGTCCCCTCCCAAAAGTCCCTGAAAACCCCCCACTGCTGGACCCCGAGACCCCAGACGAGGCAGCCCCAACAGCTGCTGACTTGAATGTCCAAGTGCCTGGCCCTGTGGCGAATCCTAAGCCCCCAGGACGGCTGAGGCCGTCCCGTGAGAGCAAGGGAACCCGACGGTCCTCAGGCACCAGGCCTGACACTGGGACAGGACCGCCCTCCACCTTGGCCGAACGGCCCAAGGTCAGCCTACACTTTGACACCGAGACTGATGGCTACTTCTCAGATGGGGAGCTGAGTGACTCGGATGTCGAAGCTGATGACGCTGGGGTGCAGCAGGGTCCCCGGGAGGCAGGGGCCGAGGAGGTGGTCCGCATGGGAGTCCTGGCCTCCTAAAACTCACCCCTGGCCATGCCCTGGCCCGTCCCTTCCCCACCCCATGGCCTCAGCCCAGTTACAACTGCCATTTCTGATCTCTGCTGAGGGCCCCCATCCTGAGCCTCGAGCTACCAGTCCTCTGTGGGTTCCTTCTGGATGTTGGGCACATTTTGGATTCCACACTGTCGTTTTTCCTCCACACTGGCCTAGGACGTCAGGAGTCCTTCCTGCATTCCAGCCACCTGCACTGGGCCAGGACTTGTGCACCACCCTTGCCTGGCCCTCGCTGCATTGCTGGGCCTTGGCTTAACCAGAGGTGGTAAAAAGTGGCACTCAGGCCCCTGGCCCGAGGCCGCTGGGTAACTCGCACTGTCGTTTGGGCATTATTTCACAGAAGACAGGCCAGCCCAGGGCCTACCCACCTTGTCCCGGGGTCTCACTGGGGCTCATTTCTTTTTTTCTGTTTGTTTTTTTTGGGGGGAGTTGTTTTTTTCTTTGGAGGGGGCGGGGGTCCTGCTGCACTCCACTGATCCCCAAGACAGTTCACTAGGTGACCCCCAGCCAGAGACTGCTCACTGTCACAAGCACAACGAGTCTATCTGAGAAAGCACTGATGGGTTGCTGGGGCCTGCTGGCTCCTGGGCACCCAGCAGCTGCTCCTGACCAGCCCACAGCATCGGAGGCCTACTCCCCAACCCTGTAACCCCTCCTCACCGCCCTGCCCCTGCCAGCGCCGGGCCCAGCAGCTCTGGGGAGGTGGGGCTCCTCCAGTCCTGGAGCTGTGCTGTTTACTCAGGGGACTCCCATGCAGCAGCCAGTTGTGCAGGTGGCTGCTGGGAAGGGCCAGTGCCCAGCCAGGGTGGGGGACTCAGACCAGCCCCTTGCAGAGAACCACTCGGGGGGGACTCCCGCTTCCTTCCTTTCCTTTGGGGCCAGTCCTGGCCAAAGTCTGGTCACTCCCAGACAGAGTTGACCAGACCAGACCATTTGCCTTTTCGAGTTTCCTAGTCCTGCTAAGAGATGAGCTTCTTCCTTGGTTTCCTCTAGGAAACCCCTGCTTCCAACAAGCAGTGGGATCCCGGGGCCCAGGGCAGGCCGCTGCCAGCCTTCCTTGGTGCTGGCTGAAGTCTGGGGACATCCCCCTGTTCCTCCATTCTCCTGAGCCTTAATCCCGTCTCTTACCTGTGCCCTGTTCCCCACCACTACTGCCCTACCTCCTCCTCCCCTCACCCCTGTAGGTCCCAGGTAATGGCTGTGGAAAGTTTTAGTGGAGCGGCCCCAGGGTGATAGCTCAGGGAACACAACAAAAGGGATTCCTCGAAAACGTTGTATGTTTTTTTTTTCTTTTATGAATTACTCCGGGGTTACTTCTGCCACTGGTGAAGCCAGAAAATCTCCAACAAGAACTTTGCAAAAGTCCAGTGAATCAGTCGAATCATTCTATGGATGCCAAAGAATATTTTGACCATAACACAGCACAGCCGGGACCTGACAACTTGTCACTTGGACTTTTTGCCAATCAAGTTCTTGAGCAACAAAGGACGGAGATGGGCTCGTCGTGTACCTCCACAGGGATGGGCCCAGCCCTGGCAAGAGAAGGCTTCACTGCCGCTCCCTTGCACCTGGGTATGGGGGTTCAGGTCCTGGGATGGGCCCCCCTCTCCCTCCCCAGGAGCTGGCCTGGACTCAAACTCACAGTGGGGGTACAATCCCGCCAGTACAACCAGCATGGAAAAGTCTCAACCCTGTGGTTCCCACCCATCCACCCAAGTCTACAGAGCAAATAATGTCCAGGGGCAAGCCTGGCCATCGCCTGATCCCTGACTCAAGGTACGACAGTGGCATCAGCATTGACACTCAGTTCCATGTGGATTTTCGCAAAATAGGCAACTAAAGACAACTTTGGTTCAGACGCCGCACCCTGCGCGTGCAGTCCAAGGTGGACACCAAGGGCATGGGTGGGCGTCGGGAGGGCATGAGCTACCACGTAGTTAGTCTGCCTGCCTGCCTTGGTAGTAGTGACCAGTGCAGTGTCAGCATCAGCGTCCCAACCCCAGTCTCTGTTTACTGCCTTTGAATGGCCCTCCTCCCCACCCCAGGGCTTTGGTCCCTGCTGGCTGGCAAACTTCCTGTGGCGTTGTGGGAGGAAAGGCCTAAAGAACAACCAAACCCTGCTAGGGATTGTTCCAGTGGAGTATTTTGGAGAGAGGCTGGTTCTGGGACCCTCAGCACCCAAGTGTATGGGAGGCAAGCTGGTTGCTGGGCTGCTTCACTACCACACCAGCCCTCACACCAACTTCACGAGGCAGCCCTCCACTTCGAGGGAGGCCACAGGCTTCAAACAGGCTGGGATGCCAGTCCGCTGGCCCTGACCCCTTTGCCTGTCTCCTGTTAGTCATGGCTCCTTCACTCCTTTCCTGACCTCCTGTCTACACAGTAGAGGGGGCCTTGCCCGACTCCAATACCATGGCAGAGCTTTCTCCCAACCGCATCTGCCCACACATCGGCTGCCTCCTGTCCGGGAGGCAGCAGCTGCTCCGTAACTCATTCTGGCTGTTGTCCCACATTCTCACCAGTCCTGGTCACCCTACCTGACCTCCAACTCCCTCATCACATGACAAAGGATAATGTGCAAGGAAAAGTATTTTTCTGCATCATAAGTATATTTTGAAAGACAAAAGAAGAACACTCCTCTCATAGGAATGCTGCCCTGGGGCAGAGCCTGAGCATTTGTGTAGGAAGAGCCTCTTTCCTTGGGGAAGCTGCCTGGGTTTCCAGATGTGGCACTGGGGTGTGGGGTGCATGTGTCCTTGTTCATGCATGGCTGCAGGTGCATCCCACAGGACATGGCATTGTCCTAGCGACTCCACTGTCCAGTTCTAACAAATCAGCAGCAACAGTACTTGGCACTGCCTTGCTCTGTGCCAGGTGTGGTCAACCTCTACCTGTTCCTGACGCCCTGCAGAATGATCTGGAACCCTATAGCCTGGCCCTCAGGGAGGCCACTTCCCCCATGTCCCTGGCCCATCTGGCCACATTGGCCAAAGAGCCAGGGCTGGAGTCTGGGAACCTTGGTTGTTCTTTAAGGCGCTTCCTGCCACCTTCTCCCTCAGTCGCATGCCTTGTGCTGCAATGGTCTTGAAGGGTGGTGGGGGGGTGATATGAATGTCACAGGAGGAGACACCTTCTGTCTGTTTCAAAGAAAGTGATGTGCCATTTGTTAATATACAAGAGAAATATTGAAAATATATTGAAAAGAGCAATTTTAAATTATTTTTGGCTTATGTTGCAATATTTATTTTCTTGTATTAGAGAAGATTCCTTTGTAGAGAAAAAAATGTATTTTTCATTACCGCAAAGACCTATTTCTCCTTTTTGTACATTGTCCATGTTTGCAACCCTTAACGAGCAATAGAATGTCTGGCAGCCTGTGTGTGGCTGCCGCCTGCTGTGCCCTGCATGATTCTGTGTTGCCGCTGCTGCCTCGCCCCCAGCCCCATCCTGTCCTGTTCACTGACCGGGCTGTCCGGATCCCGGCCCCTCTCACCTCCACCCCATCAGGGCCTGTGTCTCCTGGAGCCCTTTGCACTCCTCATGTGTTGGCAAACGCAATCAATAAAGCAATGTTTTCTGTGCTGGCTGGTATGAGACTCAATTGCATGGGGTGTGCTGGGGCCCTAAGGATAGTGGCAGTGGGTAGGTTTGGTAGACATTTTAGACCACATGCAGGGGAACTGCTCAAGGGCAGGCCAGCATTCAGTTCTCAGGGCTGTCCCTTGCAGCTCAAAGATCCAAATCATACCTCCGGGCAGAGGCAGTGCTTTTGCTGGCTATGTGCCTGGGACAGCAGGACAGCTTCCCAGGGCATCTGCCCCTAAACCTGAAGATGTCTGGTTCATTCCTCGCTTATTCACAGAAGCACTCATGCAGTAGTTAGTGCTGAGCCAAGCAGGTCTAGAAACAGCTCCTGGTCCTCTGTAGGCTAGTCTGAGGCTGGGGCGTTGGGGCCAGATTCAGCGAGCGTGTTTTTTTTTTTTTTTTTTTTTTGAGGAAGCGGCACCATTAGTTAATTCACTCATCCAGCATCTACTTGACCATGTGCAGGGTGGAGTCCTCTGTCTGTCCCACAGCTTCCAGGCATCCCAGCTGATGGCTCAGGGACATTTGTGTTAAAAGGAAAAAAGCCAGGTAACAGGGATTCTAACGTTAGGTTTCACTCATTATGTCCAAAGTAGGAGCACTGAAACACCTTGAATAATGTGAACTCACTGACCCTCTGTCTATGCCAAGCCTGACCAGTCCGGAGCGTCTCACAGTGCAGCATTCACCGGTGGGATGCCAAGTCCTGTGGAGCAACACAGCCCTAGAGGCCCTCAACTACCTGGAGGGTGGGGGCCAGACAGACTCAGGTCTGCAGGGGCAATGCACAGGAGGCTGAGGAGCAGGTCTGCCCCCGCCTGTGCCCCAATGCCTTCCACGTGAGCACTTTAGGGCAGGGGGGCTCCCGTGTGACTGGTATTCCTAAGCCTCCTCTCCTGCTTCCTGAGCTGCTGGCTGCACCCTCAGCTCCCCCCAGGACTACCCCTTTCTGGGGCAGGTCTCTGGTAGGCAGGTCTGTGGCCGCTGCTGCGCAGGCTCAGGCGCTTGGCGGAAGGCGGGGTGGTGGGGGCGGAGGGGGCGTGCCCTCGCCCGAGGGTCCCGCTCCTTCCCTCTCCTCAGGCGCCCTCTGAAGGTCCTGGGCAGTGAGCCCCCAAAACGGTAAGCCAGAGGGACATTCTCTCCTTCAGGTCTTTTTTTTTTTTTTTTTTTAGGGAGTAGGGGGGAAAGCGCGTTGGGAGGCCCTGTCAGAGAAAGGCACAGCCCTGGCACTTGGTGGTGGCCACACGCCCCCTCTAGAAGAACCGGCTTCTCAGTCACAACTCTGTGTGCCTGGTACCCGCCGCCAGGCGCTGAGACGAAGGGAGCTCCCGGGAGTCCCGAATTACACAACTCTCTGAACTCCCTCATGGCAAGGTCTGTGGCGCCCCCTGCTGCCCGCGCGCCCCCAAAGCCTGCAGGCCCGGGGCGTCTCCTAGGGGAAAGCGCTGGGGCCCGAGGCCTCTGGTCATCCCGCGCCCGGCAGCTCCCTGAGCGACGGCTCCCTCAGCCTTCGCAGCGGGCAGCGACCGGAGGGGCCGGCGGCCTGCGGGCACAGCGAGGCTTGTACTGCGGGCTCAGGGACTGCTGGACGCCCGACCCGGGCCGTGTGGGTGGGAGGGGGCAGCTGTGGAAACCCAGGCCCTGCCTTCTGTGCCTGTAGAAGAAAAAGAAGTCCGTTCGCAGGGGGCTGCAGCCGAGTTGCTCCAGCCTAACCCGACAGGCCGCCATCCCTCTGCCGCCACCGGCTGTTCCCACAGCGGCCAGCAGAGACGCCGCACATGGCCGGCTACGAGGGAAAGGCGCCCTCATCTGGGCCGCGAGGGCACCGGGCCCTCCCGCTTCCTTTCCTCTGAGGAGAAAGACCCTTCCAGAAGCAGGAGAGAGGATGTAGCAAGCGCAGCACCAGCCAGGGTGGAGGTTTGGCAGAGTGGGAGCGCTGCCGACTGAGACATTGGCATGCCCTGTGGGAGCCTGGGAACCAGTTCTGGTTCCGCTTCAGATGTCAGCTTCCTGCACCCTAGGACGCAGCAGGTGGAGTCACTTGCACCCATGGGAAGCCTGGAGAGCATTCCCAGCTGCTGGCCTCAGCCCAGTTCTTGTGGCATTTGAACAGTGAACCAGTGGACAGGAGCATTCTTTGTGTTTTAACATGAGGAGCCAGGATGGCCAGATTCTAAAAGAAAATGTTTAAGGTCTGTGGAAAATGTTTATGATAAAAAAGAAAATTGTGCATGGATTTTGAAACCCTCCTTGGGATGAGGTGAAGTGATACAATGCCTACTTGGATAAAGTGAGGTGAACTAGGACATGCAGGGTCAAACTTAGGAAAAAGGCTTGTTTGCTTACTTGTGAAATGAGTGTGAGAAAAGTTTCCATGATATGCGAGCTCTGAGAGCCTGCAAGTGGACTGAACTTGGAGGTGCAGGAGAGGCGGAGATTGGCTTACTACCTCTTGCTTCCTGGAATCAGAGCCCAGGAGCCTTGTTTACAAGACTCTGAGGCCCCTCAGGGCAGCTGCTGGTTGGGACCAGGGCAAATGAGAGCTGTGACAACAGGGCAGCAGCTTGCCATACGTGTGGGAGAGTCACCTATCCTCAGCCGCAAAGGTATCTAGCTGCCCCTCCTCTGCTCTTGAATGACCCTGCACACTTGCAACCTGAGAGCAGACTGAGACACCCTTCTGGCCTCCTTGCACTGAAGGAACATTCCATGGCTAGGGATTGAATGTTATGACTAATATGAGAATCAGGAGAGCAGCCAAGGATCCGCAGGGAAAGCCAAGGGAGAGAAATGACTCAGCAAAGCAACCCTTCACCTGGGGATGGGCTGAGCCACTCTTGGGGCTGTGGGAGGTTGCCTGGTGTCAGGTGCCTGTGTGCGAAGTCGGCTGGCCACATCACGACTGTTGACTTCGAGCCCATTCCTTACTACAGCCTGGACTAAGGGAAAGAGACATGATCGGTGGGCCTTATCTGTGCACAGGGGCCAGTGTCAGTCTTGTGGATGAAATATCTGTCTCTTCCTCTTTCTGTCCCTCAGCCTTTCTAATAGATAAATAATCTTTTAGGGAAGAGAAGGAAAAACTCTTAAGGATTACTCTCTCCACTCTACTCTCCCAAGTCAAGAGAGAGCATAGGGTGGGCCCTCATGCCAAGCGCTTTGCATGGGTGATGGGATTCAGGGGCAAAGCATGAGACTCTCCTTCATTCAGCAGAGGTTGCTCCCCTAGCAGAGGAGCCCCCAGCAGAACCCCAGGGACAGAGAACCACCACATGCTTGGAAACCACCACTAGGACACTTGTTAAGTCTTCCTTGGGCCTGGCATGGTAGCCTAGTGGCTAAAGTCCTCGCCTTGCACGTGCTGGGATCCCATATGGCTGCCAGTTCTAGTCCCAGCAGCCCCACTTCCCATCCGGCTCCTTGCTTGTGGCCTGGGAAAGCAGTGAAGTATGCCCCAAAGTGAATAAGATAGGACATGAACTGTTGCTGATATGGATGCTGGTGCTTAAAGATGAAGGATTGACCTAATAAGCCACTGTGCCAGCCACAGAGACCTGCACCTGTGTGGGAGACCTGGAAGAGACTCCTGGTTCCTGGCTTTGGATTGGCTGAACTCTGGCCATTGTAGCCATTTGGGTAGTGAATCCATGGACGGAAGATCTTCCTCTCTGTCTCTCTTCCTCTCTGTATATCTGACTTTCTAATTAAAAAGAAAAGAAAAGTCTTCCCTAAAGTTACCTCTCACTGTGTCCTTGACACTGAATACTTCTGTTCCCAGATCCTCCTGAGCCCCGGAGTCACAGAGGTCAAGTCCAGTCCAGCGTCCCCGGGAAGCTCTTGGGCTCTTCCATGAAGTTAAGATGACCTGCCTTCCTAGAGGTTGGAATGCGGACTGCCCCCTCTTACTACCTCTGCAGTGATGTGCCTGCCTCTGCACAATTCAGGTAAAGTCCATCATGTGTAGCAGATTTTGTATTAAGAGGTCTCCTCCAACCCAGAGCCCAGCAGATGTTGTGTATGAGTCCCCAGCCCTGACTGCTTCTATAGCTTCTGTTTGTTTCCGTTTTAACTCAGCATCTTCCACAGTTGGTGCTGCACATTTTGGTGCACAGGTACATGCTTGGACACCTGTGTGTGCAGGTGTAACAAGGTCTGATTTGATGGCCTGGCGAGCAGGGTGACCTGATGGGTGACTGGCTCCTCCCTTGGCTGGAAGGACAGGGTTTTCTGTCATGCTGTGCTGGTGTTGGAACCTGTCACTAACAGTGAGCAACAGGGTGGCAAGTGAACTCCAACCTCCTTCTGACTCAACATGTGCCTGCTACTGAGCAGACGCAAAGCTCTGCCAGACTCCTTGCTTCATGCCTCTCATGGTTGGCTGTCTGCCTGGAGCATCCTCTTACTTCCTTAGCTCTGTGGCCAGCGCAGGGGCTCAGTAGGCTAATCCTCCACCTTTAAGCACCAGCATCCATATCGGCACTGGTTTGTGTCCTATCTAATTCAGCACCCATCCACCTTCCTGCAGTACGACCTGGCAAAGCAGTGCAGGATGGGAGACCTGGAAGAGGCTCCTGGTTTTAGCTTTATTCATTGTGGCCACTTGAGAGGTAAACCAGAGAATGGAAGATCTTTCTCTCTTTAAAGTTCTGTAAATCTGTAAATCTCTGTAAATTTACCTTTCCAATAAAAATAAATAAGCTTTTAAAATAATAATAAAAAGATTCAGCTCTGATGTCTCCTTTCTAGAAAGTTCTGACATAGTTTTTATTGGGCCTTCTTTTTTGCCTTCTGTGATAGCTTTGGCAGATCTCTGTCCCTGCTTCTTTTTGCCCTGTGAACCCTCGGCAGACAGGTGTCCCGGAAACGCTAACTTAAAGGGAAGTGAGACCAGGCACTGAAACCTCAACCCAGCATGCCAGCACAGGACTTGGTTAAGCACCTGATGCCAACTAGTGGCTTTGGTTACATAAGATTTTATGTGTAAGGGGGAAAAAAA